TGGTTCCCATAACCTAATTGATTTTTCAAAAAAACTACAGGTAATCAGGTTCACTCTTTGGGCTGTAAATTAGGTTTTAATAAATGGACACTGTTGCGTATTTATCATTACAATATCATACGGAGTAGTTTTACAACTCCAAAAATTCTCTAGAACTTTACCAATGAAACCCTACCTGACCTTAACTTAGATAAACTAATCTGTTTGTAATCTTCATAGTTTTCCTTCTCATATAATGCGGAATCACAGGGTATGGAGCCTGACATCTTAGTTTTTTCTTTTCTACTAAATTGCATCCCACTGTATGTATGTACTCCTACATGTTTATACATTCACGTATCGAAGGACATTTTTGGCTGCTTCTGGGTTTCGTGATTATGAGTAAGGATGCCATGAACATTTGCATACAGGTTTTGGTTTAGACATGTGTTTCAAATCATTGGATAAATACTTAGAACCATGACTGGTGGGTTGCATGATAAGAATATGCTTAGCTTTGTAAGTAACTGTCAAACAGTCTTCCAAAGTGGCTGTACCATTTTGTATCCTTACCACCAATCAACTGAGTTCCTGTTACCCTATGTCATTGTTAACATTAAAAAAATCCTTAGAAAAACATCCTTACAAAAGACTCCCAGGCTAGCCCATGGCCTGGTGATTAAGAAAATTGGATCTCACATGGCTGATGATACAGTTTGAGTCCTAGGCCTGGTGTCTTGAAAATAATGCTAGGTAAGTGTGTGCATGTGCTCAAAATCCTGGAAGGAGGGAGAAGTGGAGTGAAAGGGATGGAAAGGGATTGTGGTGTGACCATTCCCCAAAGGGAGTACCTGGTGGCTTGAAAATCATGCTAGGTAAGTGTGTGCATGTGCCCAAAATCCTGGAAGAAGGGAGAAACGGAGTGAAAGGGATAGAAAGGGATTGTGGTGTGACCATTCCCCAAAGGGGGTGCTATCTGCTTCTACTTTCTCTCTGGTGACTACCCTTGGCATCTGGAAAAAAAAAGGAAGAAAAGGAAAGGAAAGAGAGAGAGAGAAGAAAAGAAGAAAAGAGAAAAGAAAAGAGTTGAATTCCCAGTGTTTTCTCTCCTATGTATCTGTGCCTTGTTTCTCAGGAGTCCAGGATGCCCACTGAGGTTGTCTGTACGATGAAACTGAACTGATGGGATGGGGGAAGATTATCCAGTCATTTTTCTAGATCTTTGAGCTGCCCATCAAATCGGGGGCTGATTTCACCTGTGTTTAACCTGCCAGAGGTATACAAGTTGCCAAGTTCCGTGATCATCAATGATTTCAGACTCTCCATTGTACCCATGCTTCATCATCCCCATTAGAAACTGAACCATGACTCATGATTTCGGACCATGGCCTGGGGTTTTTCTTTCTTTTCAGCACCATCCATACGCTAGAGCATCAGCCAGGACATTTATGTGCCCCATTACAGTAGCACAAAGTGATGATGTAAACAGGCTATGATCGATTTTGAGTTCATTTTTTTAAAGGTTGAATCAGTGCTCTTCCTTCTTTTGAGAGTCTTTCAAAGAAATTACCTCAGAGAGGCATATTTGCTGGTAAAAAAGGTAACAACCAACAGGACCTCATAGTTTTTAAAGTTAGTGTAATGTTCAGATTTGAGGGAGAAACTCATCCCTATCAATTTGCCACAGTCAGATCACATCCATGTTCTGCTCTGGGGTACAATCTGATTTAAGAGCAAGATTGACAAACTAATTGATCCACTCACTCCATTTAATCCGTCCACTCATCATTCAGAACAGTGCTTGGCATGACGATTCTGGGTACGACGGCTCTAACAGTGATCATGATGACGTGAGCCTATCTCCTTCATCCCTAGACTATGACCAGCTTGAGGACAAGAAATGCACATTTCCGCTATGCGAGCCCAGGGCTCCGCACATAGAACATGTTCCATGTACACTTAATTAGCGTGTCTGGTGAAGAAATTGAGGATGTTTAATCTAGAAAATAAGAGCTCTTCAGACAAAATGTGTCTGTAAACAGACACCATGCCCCATGGGAAGATGATGATTATCATCGAATATCTGAAGAGCTATCATGTGGAAGAGGGATTAGAACCAGGATTAGTAATAGAACTCACAGAGGTACAGAATTTCAACTCATTATACTTAAGAGTAGGCTGCCTTATTGTGAGCCTGCACCCACTGAAGTAATTAAGCGAAGCCCAAATGAATATTTCTGAGGGCTTTTAAAGGAGAGGGTTTCTGTAGTGAGGAGAGTAAATTAACCATTTCCTATCTCTTTTGAAATGACATTCCATGGGATGTAATGGATCTAGTACAGGATCAAATTAAGAACTTCAAAACCTCTAAGAACATAAATAATTATGGCATCTCATTCCACTTATAATTCAATATAAAACCAATATAAGATGTTGTTAGGAAGACCCATCAAGTTCAGTGGTATTCACTCATTCATTGCCTCTTTTTTTTTAAGATATCAGATATTGGGAACCAGCAGTTAGCGTAATGGCTATGTCGCTGGACTCCCATGTAGTCGACCGCGGTTTGCGTCCTGGACCCGGTGGCTTAAAACACGTGTGCGTGCGTGCCCAAGATCCCAAGAGGAGAATGGAGGAGAAGGGATTGCGGTGTGACCATCCCCCCTGGGGGGTGATTTCTCGCTTTCTGTCTCTCTGTCTCTCTCTGTCTGTCTGGCGAGCGCACGTGCCCTATAGCAAAAACCTCTCCAAAAAAAAAAAGAAGATATCAGATATTAAGTTTTCTCCTTAATTTGTGCTCTCTCTGTTTTCTGCTATTGCTTATACATGTGATTAGTTGTGCTTATTGCCTACCATTGATCTTCTGATTCTAGCTATAAGAAAAGAAGTGTTGAAAGAGTCCTTTAAATGATTTGTAAAATAAAATACCATTAAACAAACAAAGAAAAAAACAAAAGAAAAATAAAAAACAAAAGACCTGGGCAAAAGCTCACGACCATTTTATTTTAAATGTCCCTACAGCCACAGAAGCAACACAACTGGGGACAAGATGCCATTATGTATTTTAAAAATAAGATCCATCTGTGGTGCCAGTGGGTGGCATTGTGGTTAAAGTGCTGGACTCCCAAGTGGCTGCCTGATTCGAGTTCCAGATCTGGTGGCGTGAAACTCACACTGGGCTCCTGTGCATGTGTGCCCAAGATCCCAGGAAGAGAATGGAGAAAAAAGGGATGGTGGCATGGCTCTCCTCCTTGTGGGGTGATTTCTCGCTTTCTGTCTCTCTGTCTCTGTCTCTCAGGCAAGTGCATGTGCCCTATGGTATAAATCTCTCTCTCAAAAAACAAAACAAAACAAAAAACATTTGCAACTGATGTACACAGTTTGCCAGTATTGAAACTATGATCTGGAGATGCGGTTTTCCTCCAACACAGAGATCATTTACAGTACGTTTAAACTTAAGGTCTTTCCTCACTCTGCTCTAAGTCTTGAAAATTGACACATACGACAACCTTAATTATTGAATGCATTAGATGTCCTCAAAAATTCATGGAAAACATGTATTATGAAAAAACTAAGCATGGATTTCTAACTTTTTTGCACCACAATATACTGAGTTTAATTTCATTTTCCATGACACTTTGAAGTTCTTTAATACATGTGATAATAAAATTTAAAGCCGAAACAAATATGGTATAATAATTGGCTTTAAAAAGGAGCAATAACCTGTTGGTTATATTTATCATACACATTTTTCACTGTAGCTAAGAAAGTTTCATGATTTCCAATCACAGCATCTTTTTTTTAAAAAATAATTATTTTATTTAACTAATCTATCTTTCTTTCTTTTCTTTTCTTTCCTTCCTTCCTTCCTCCCTTCCTTCCTTCCTTCCTTCCTTCATACCTTCTAATTTGGCCAGAGGGAGGGAGGGAGGGGAGGGAGAGGAAGAGGGAGAGGGGGAGAGAGAGAGAGAGAGAGCGAGCGAGAAGGCTGTCAGTCCGGGACTTGAATCATGGTCAGCCATATGGGAGTCCAGCATCCTTAACCACCATGCCATGTGCTAGTCCCTGAGCAGCATCTTAATTAACAAGTTTACAGGTTATAAATTATTTTCCAAGAATTTGGTGCAAAACCAAGTGAGTATTAAAAATGTGACTACTGATGTATAATCCTTTAGGTACTTAGAAAACTAGTTTTTGATTCAACTGGTTTATGTTTATTGTTACTTTAAATTTTTAAATAAAAGATTATTTAATTTTATTTATTATTATTTTGTTAAGTTTGACAAGAAAAACACACAAAGAGAGAGGGAAAGTGAGAAAGCAGGTCCAGTACTCAAATCTCATTTGGCCACGTGGTAGTTCAGCACCTTACCCACCATGGCACCCGCCAGCCCTGCTACTTCACCTCTTATACAAACTTATTACAGCTTTTGTATAAATTGGAGGAAGTGTGAGCATTTTTCTATGAATAGAATGAGGTATTTTCTTCCCCTTCTTAGAGTCTATAACTTTCCTTTGCAACTTAAATGACATGTCCTCATGATGAAGTGACTTTTTCTTTTTTAAAATTTGCTATAGGGCATGGTGCACTTGCCAGAGAGTGAGAGAGACAAAGAAAGAAAGGGAAAGTGAGAAAACACCCCCCAAGAAAGAGAGCCATGCTGCAATTCTTTTTCCTTCATTCTCCTCTCAGGATTTTGGGCCAACTCATACACATGCCTGGCACATTTTTTCAAACTGCCTGGTCTAAGACTTGAACCACGCAGTTGGCCATGTGGGATCTGGCCACCTCAACCACCACACCACTGATTGGCCTGAAGTAACCTTCTTAAAGAGTTCCCAAGTTACAATGCGAAAAGTACACTGGGATAACCTTGCCAAGCCTTGTTATGAGGGTTAGCACTTGCTTAAGGAAAATAAACTACTCCCTAAGGTAATGGCACTGGTGTAAAGATTTGAAACAGACTCACAGTGAACTGCAATTATACATAGTTTTAAAAAGTAGGTAAAACAATACTTACTGGAACATCAACATATTTTGCTGCTGCTTTCACCTAAGTAGGAAGCAAAAAAATAACTATGAGAATTATTTGCCTAACTGCTACAGAAACACTAAGACAACAGTTAAGATGGCAAAAGAGAACTCATTCAAATACTTACAGTGAATGACAGAATGGAAGAGAAGAAAGTACCTTCATCATATCTTGATAGCTTAGATAACACCCCTTCCAACACTGAAACGAACTACAGTAGAGTTTATAGTGAGTATTTCGAATGTTACTGTGTAGTAGACAAGTGAACAGCGGGGCAACTTCTCTCTTGGCACAAACATCCACAATGAGTAAACTGGCAGCTGAGGTTAAGCTAACTTGTACCATTTATTCCTTTATTCTGAACAGGAACTTCTAGATTTTTCCCACTATAACTTTTTAAAAGAAAAAAAATCAATAGTTTAGTTACTATAAGCATAAAATAATTTAAATCATTAATAAATTTAGGTTCATGAGACTGCTCCTTAAAACATTTTTAACTTCATTATAGATGTTAAGAAATTTGTCCAGCTTAACCAAATTCCTTCCCAGCATAACCAAATTCCTTTCTATCATATATTACCCATCACTTAACTTTTGCCTACATCTATGTAGAAGGTCAAATAAAATAGAACAGATAATGAAAGGGAAGTGTAATATTTGGGGCTCTTGTAACATTGGAACAAAGGGTGACACAAGAATTTGCCAAGTAGTTTTAACGGGCACACATCAGACTGATCCCTAGTTCTAGACTCTTACACAACAGTTGGAGAGCTAAAACAGATACATACATTGCATGGTCTAGTGCTAGACTGAGAATATTTCCTGATTCCATCACCGAGTGTTATTTGGGCTCAGTCTGATCACTCTACCTCTCAGCCCTCAGCTGAGTTAAATGGACTGTGTGTGTTGGGATTGGGGACAGAGAAGCATGGAATTCAAATTAGTTCTCAAACATGTTTAATATTTCTAAAATTTTATGTGTCTATGAAATAAACAAGACAAGTATACTGCAATATAGTGAACTGCATGGAGAATTGTACTTTGTTGAATGAAAACACGCTAACAGCTGCCAGCAACATCCATGAATAAGAGACATTGATAAGGATATACTGCCCACATCTTTCCTTCCTAGAACTAAGAGAATATGCACTATTGACAAATTATACACTCCCAAAGGGAAAGTACTGACAAGGTTTTTTAAATACGAAAAGGGAAATTAACGAAGGCTGGTTTTTGTTCACATAGCAGCTTCTTCAACAAAGTGATAATAGTTCCAGGGACATAGCTTATTGGTCTCTGGTGACTAGAAAACTCACTGCAAGTGCACAGGAGATAATCTTTTCTCTATGGCTGATCAATTACCACAAAATAGTTTATGCAAAAGAAACAAAAACTTCCCTATAGGTTTCTCCATCACATCATTTGCGACATGATGTAAGAACACAGAAACAAAACCATGCAAACTGCTGACTAAAAATTTATTTTTAAAGAAAGAAAATTATGTATGGCTTGGTAGTTATCCTAAGGGATACGAGCAGCAAAAAACACAAAATTACAAATTGCTCACAACTAAAAGTCAATTTAGCACTTTCGTCCTGTCCATTAGGATTTCTTCCCAATCATGACTGGCTAACACAACTTGATGTGGTTGGCGAAGACCCAGAAGACTAATACTCTGGGGCTATGTCAGACCAGGGGAAGGGAATTCCAAACTTAATGGCTCTCTGTGGAAAATGCCTGGTCTCTTGTAACTCAAATCTTGAGAGCGAATGTGTGTTAGGTGATGTCATTTGCCATGAGGAGAGCGACGATTGCTATGGTTACCAGACACCTGAACCACTGAAGGCCCTAGCACAGTACCTGGTTCTGGGTGCCTTCCAGTGAATCTCTGTGTACACCTGTGATCAATGCTAAAGGACAAAGCAAGGTAGAAGCGAGAAGTCTGTGGATGGATTAAGAAGATCTGGGTTTAAGCTATACCTCTCCTGCTGTTTGGTTATGAGATAATGTGCTCATCAGTGAAATGGAGACAATGACAACTGTCCTGCCCACTTTGCAAGGATGCTGGGAAGACCAGTGGAGATGACCTATTGCAAAAGGGCTATGAAAATGGCAAAATACTAAAGAAATGTTAAAAAAAAATTAGTATTGTTGGCATGATTAGCTAAATCACTGTCCACTACATGTTTTCAGACATGTTAATTGTCTTTGTTAATTCACAAGCTAATGAGGGTAGCCCTAGGACTGCTTAGTGATAGGCAATAATAATGAGTTTGGTTATAAGCCAGTGAGTCTAATTGAATTAAATTTATGAAAGTGTCTACGGAGGTAAAATAAAGTTGAGGCTGTAAGTCAGAAGACCATTGAAATTTTTTCTCTAGCTTTTTTTTTTTTTTTTGGCCAAAGAGTGTATGTGCTCACCAGAGAAAGACAGAAAGATAGAGAGAGGGGCAGGAGAACGTACACCCCCACCTACCATGGGGAATGTTCATGCCACAGTCTCCTCTCTTCCATCCCTCCCTCCTTATGGGATTTTGGGCATGCACACACATGTGCCTGGTGTGTTTCTCAAGCTTCTAGGTCTGAGAGTCAAACTGTACAGTCAGCCATGTGGCTTCCTTAACCACTAGGCCATGGCCGGCCCTGGGATCCTTTCTATTTCAAGATCACCTGGCAGACAGCAGGAGAAGGCTTTGAACAGTTAATCTGGTTCCATGATCCACGATCTTTATCATGCTACAGAGTAATAAGGATGACATGAGATGGGATTCATAATGTGCCCAGCATATAATAAGTATTCAAAAAGGCATTTTGTTATCATTTTAAAAATTATGTACTTAATTTTGTTTATTATCATTTATTTTTGAGAGATTTTTGCTATAGGGCGCATAAGCTTGCCAGAGAGACAGAAAGAGAGACAGAAAGTGAGAAATTATCCTCTGGGAGGATGGCCATGCTGCAATCCCTTATCCTCCATTCTCCTCTCGGGATTTTGGGCATGCGTGAACATGCACCTGGCATGAGTTTTAAGCTGCCAGATCTAGGACTTGAACTGTTGTTGACTATGTGGGAGTCCAGTGATGTAACCATTACATTGGCCTCTATTATTATCATTTTCTTTTAATTTGACCAGAAAGAGACAATCAGAGAGAAAGAGAGAGAGAGAGAGAGAGAGAATGAGAATGAGAACGTAAGCCACCAGGTCTAGGACTTGAACTACTTGACCATGTGGGAGTCCAGTGCCTTAACCACCACACCACCTGCTGGCCTCTTGTTATCATTATCAACATTAAGCATGTAAGATAAGAAAAACCAATAGAAGAGTCTTAGGCCTTTCCCTTCAGGAACATACAAACTAGTGGGAGAGAGACAGCATACAACTGGGTGTGACACAGGTAGAAGTGTTCTGGACTCTTGGAGGTGGCAAACAGTGTAACTGAAAGTGAGGAGAGAGATCATGACTTTAGAGGCTATTATGAAGTGGGTGGTACAGGAGCTGAGTCACAGGTCAGCAGAAACGAAGTGGATAAACTGACACTTGGGAAGAACTGGCTGATAAAGTTAGGGCAGAATTTTCTCCAAGGTGGCATCTGGTAGCCTGTCTGGCTTTTCTTTAGAGTATGAAGCAGCACTGGGTTGTATCCAAGGAAGTCCAGGTGTGGACCTTTGGTTGGTTGACACCATGCCATGGTGTACTTTGCTTCCATTTTCAAAATGGTGGAGAGCCCCTCCTTGGCTTTTTTCCTAACCCAAACGTCCCTGGAGAGTCACAGGGAGACAGTAGGGAGGTTCCTAACCCAAATGTCCCTGGAGAGTCACAGGGAGACAGTGGGGAATCTCAGTACTGACATGGCAGTGAACGTGGCTGAACCTCTGGTATCAACCAGCTAAGCCCCACAGTTCCTAGAGGAACGCTGTCAGAAGAGCTCCCTCAAACTCTGTTGACATCAAGACTGGCTAATAAGGATGTATTATTTTTCATTGCACAAAACAGCAAGATTCCAAAGAAATGCAGTTAAATGCTGGGTTTAGTTGCCTGTCTTTAACAGCTTCCTGTGAACTTTTTCCCTGTCCAGCTCAGGGAGGATATAAATACTTAGGGGTTTGTCTTGTGCTCTCTGTTCTCCTGAGGGTATTGGGTTGGAATGAAACACTGTAATAATCTCTTTGTTTCCCTGTTCTTTATTGTGGATGCCATTTACTGGTTTTGTTTGGATAATATTAAACACCTCAAGTCTGAGTAATTACCGACTTTGCTTCATGATGCATACTCTCAAAGAAATTAAAGATGAAAGCACTTTGTAATGTGAGGTAGAATGAAACATGAACACTGCCACAAGGGATGTTGGTTTAAATTTCCTGTTGAATTTTAACAGGATATAACATTCATTTTAGCAAGATATAAGATTCTTAGAGAAGGTAGAACTATAAGTTCTATGTGATAGAAAGGATTCCAGCTATAGACTGATGGGTTTAAAGCACATTCTTACTTTATTTTAAAAAATTAAAAAAAATATTGACAGAAAGTGGGGCCAGCAGTTGGCATAGCAGTTATGTCCCACATGGCAGGCTGCGGTTTGAGTTCTAGAACAGGCAGCTTAAAACTCACACCGGGCATGTGTGTGTGTGTGTGTGTCCAAAGATCTCAAGAAGAGAATGGAGGAGAAGGGATTGTAGTGTGCCCATCCCCCCCGGGAGTGATTTCTTGCTTTTTGATTCTGTGTCTCTCTGTTGAGTGCATGCACCTATAGCAAAAATCTCTTAAAAAAAATACTGACAGAGGCATGTGCTCCCACCATAGAGAGAGGAGAGGGAGGAAGCACCCTCTAATGAAGCATGATCATGTCACAATCTTTTTACCTATGTTTTTTCATAAAAGATTTGGGCAGGTGAGCACGTGTACCCTTCATATTTTTCAAGCTATCAAGCCAGGATTCAAACTGAGATTGGACATGTGAAATCTGGTTCCCTACATACAGGGCTGAAGTGATGTGCTATAAGGCAGTACTCCCCCCCTCCCCCGCCTTTTTTTTAGGTGTGTTTTTCATGATATAAACAAAGGTTATTTGCATCATTTATACTGCAAGCTATACAATCTTGCATAGAAAAGATAATCATCTATCATTAAGAGTGATTATAATAAACTAGGTGTTTTGGTGGGGAGGGAAGCAGGACCAGAGATATCTACTAAGATGTTTTCTTTTTATTAAG